CAAGCAACTGTGAATCCTATTTGGAATAGCGTCAGTCTGTAATGGGTTTTTAGGAGGATATTTAGTCATGGTTGATGATTTTGTAATGTTGCAGACGAAAAATGGATATACTCACGGAAAACGGAGGTTGAATACCCGAACGAGCAAGGCTCAAAGGGAGGACGTGATCAGGAGGACTGTCTATGTCTCTGACATTGATCATCAGGTAATGAGACTAGAGCTTTAAAAATTTGTGTTCAGCTAATTCGTATCCATTTCAAGAATTTTTAACGAAGGTATTAATTTGTAATATTCTTGTGGATGAGAATAGGTTACCGAAGAGCAACTCGCAGCACTTTTCATTAACTGTGGACAGGTAATTATGTGTTCAAGTTTTCCCCAAACTGCAGAGGTCCTCAATAAAAACTAATTAAAAGTGTTTTTTTCCCATGTTCAATCATGAAGGTTGTTGACTGCCGTGTTTGTGGTGATCCCAATTCTGTGCTTCGTTTTGCCTTCATTGAATTCACTGATGAGGGTATGCTATTAACTGATCGTTTTATTTGTTTCTTTGTATACTTTATCTAATGCTTACAATGAGCCACGTCACGTTATGTACATCTTAATTTTCAGAAGGGGCAAGGAATGCTTTAAGCATGAGTGGGACCGTGCTTGGATACTATCCAGTGCGAGTGCTGCCTTCCAAAACTGCAATTGCTCCTGTTAACCCGACTTTCTTGCCAAGAGTGAGATACTTTTATATGGTTCACTTTCTTTCGTAATTCAAACTCCAACTGTTTCAAATGTGCACAGTACTAATTAATTTTCGTTGTGGGCAAAATAATAGTCTGAGGATGAAAGGGAGATGTGTGCAAGAACTATTTATTGCACAAACATCGACAAAAAGGTAACTTTTAATAATCGTACACTTATTTTCTTGACACATTGTGGGCAATGATTTATGGTGTCTTGTTCAATGTATAGGTCACTCTAGCAGATGTTAAGATCTTTTTCGAGTCTCTTTGCGGAGAGGTTTGTAGCTGCTTGTATGAAAACCTTGTAAAATCTCTTGGAATTTTTTTTTTGTTATATCACATAATACACTTATTGATTCAGGTTCATCGTTTGAGGTTGCTTGGCGATTATCGTCACTCAACGCGTATAGCTTTTGTGGAGTTTGTAATGGTAAAATTATTGAGTTTCATCTTAGTCATTCTGTTTGATTACTGTTGACGGCTGAAAATTTATTATCTTACAAACAAATCAGAATTCTTTTATATGCATGTGTAATCTGTAGTAAATTAATCATCTGGTCTGGCTGCTTAATTATTTGCCTATCCAAGACTTAGTGAGACAATGGGTTGCATGGATATAAAATATTTTGATTTTGTTTGGATTTTTTGGTTTGGTATGGTTAATTTAAAAAAAAAATAGTATGTTTAGTCGTTGGTGGAATTTTGAGTTTATATTAAAATAATATTTAAAATAAAATTATGTGAGTGGATGAATAGTGAATTAAAGTTGATGTAATGTGTGAGAATGATTGAGTGTTATTATTTGATTATATTGATAATATTGAGGATAGTGGGGTTGAGTTAAAGTTGAGTTAGATTTGAGTTAAAAGAAAGTGATTGGTTAAAATGATTGGATTTTTTAGAAAATTTTTGTATCCCAGCATCCCTAATATATTCTGTGAAGTTCGCCTATTATTATGTTCACCTACCTCGAGGGAAGATAATTCAGGCTGAACAAGCCAAAATTTATCCTATTTAATCTTAAACATTTTTTGTTTGCAGTAACTTAAGTGTTTAATTTAGCCATCAGTTAGAATCTTCTTATATTCACAGATATAGAAGATTTGAAGTGAGGTATTGTAGTGGATGTAGCATTAGTGGTATTTAATCCTTTGAGAGTTGCCTTCTTTTCTTTCCTGCTGAAAATGCCACAGAATACATTTCATAAATGAACATTTTTTAGAAGTGTGGAATAACACGTGCTACATAGAAGTATCTGAAAAGGGAAAAATATTAAACGGCATAGTTCCCTTTCAATTTTTATCATAGCAAGATATCTTGATAGAAATTGGGATTGCACACCTTCAATCTGATGTTTTTTCCCCTTTATATCTCATTGAGTCTTCTTGCACAACTTTACTATGCTTTGCTTTCCACCGACTCCAAAGTTTGAGAAGATTGTATTCTTTGACTAGTGGCAGACTAAAAGTGAAAAAGGTTTACCGTTATTAGAAAAACACAAGAAAATGACTTGTTGTGTTGGAGCCTCTTACCTATGTTAGCATAATTTAACTCTTTGAAGTTCCTTATGTGTATTAATGATGGTGGTGCCTCTTGATTTGGGTGATTTTTTTTTATTATTTATTATTATTATTATTATTATTATTATTATTATTT